CAGTATTCAGGACAAGCGCGAACAATAAAAACATTATTCCTTATACAACAACACAAATTCACTATTCATCGAGCGTGCGACCGCGATGAACACTGATGCTTTGCGAGACTCCCACCGAGCGCCGGACTTATTTGTTGAACTCGACGTACACGAAACCCTGCACGAAAAGAGGGTAGGTCACCTGACTGGGAGGGTAGGTCACCTGACTGGGAGGGTAGGTCACCTGACTAGGAGGGTAGGTCACTTGATTTTATTATTTTTTAAGCATATACACAGCATTTGGTGTTGTTGATCGTGTCAAGCACAATGAAGATTGATGCTGGTACCGAAACAGGTAATGAGTCGCAGCGATCTTCCGCCCAGAAATAAATTATGCGGCGATTACAATAAAGCTGAGCGCCATAGGTTTCAGGGTACAATTAGTTAATAACCATTTCTTAAAAAATTACATTACTTACACGGTGGTGTCAGCATTCATGATCAAGTCATGTTGAAACCCACAACTCGCTCTTTAAATTTAACCACTCGAGCTACCGATTAAATCTCAATAATCATGGCAAATTACTTTTAATTTCGTTTTCCTATTGAGTAACCCAGTGTTGAAATGCAGGGTGGGGCAGAACCGATTTAGACGTTTTGAGGCGAAATAAAAGAGTGATGGAGGTACACAAAGAAAAAGTTTATTTTCCTCGAGGTTAGCATAACATACTATTCAGAATACTTATGTTTTGAAAACCATATCAGGAAGATGGTGGCCGTTAGCTGCAACCTAACCTACTGGAACCACACGTCTCCAAATGCTTCATTTTCAACAATGTTTTCCATCCTGGGCTGCAAGAAATTTTGCAGCATAGCGTTCGGAATTCACTGTCACGGTTACTCCCTCCTCCGAGAACGACTCCAACAGTGTGTTGCAGCTAACGGCCACCATCTTCCTGATATTGCTTTCGATACATAAGTATTCTAAATGGTATGTTATGCTAACCTCGATGAAAATAAACTTTCTTCTTTATGTGCCTCCATTAATCTTTTATTTCGCCTCAAAACTGCTCAATCGGTTCTGCCCTACCTTGTATTTTCCGAACAGAATCTTTTCTGTTAGAATTCTTACTAAGATTAGTGTTTGACGTCCTGTACATCATGACCATGCAAGCCCGCGACTTTCTTGCATTATGCATTACCTTTAAACCCGTGTAATAAACGTAATTAGATCACCGATTTCACGGATTCGAAAACCAGAGAAGAACGAAGTGAAGCGCTTTGCCTCTTTAAACCGGTAGGTTGAAAAATTAGAAACAGCCTCAACGCGACTCACGATGAGGAAGAGGGCACCGAGTAGCGTGGCCTTGATCTTGTCGTCCAATTCAAGCTCGAAGTTGATGCGTAAATCGGGGTCATAGGGGACGAACATGGAATAGCCATGCAGGCGATTTGATATCTCGCCCACCTTCTCCTTGCCGTCCGCTGACAGGATCTGCAACAAAGTGTTTGCATTATTGGCTGAAGCCTAGCGTTATTGAATGATAATGTTATGTTTTTGGTTGTAAACAAAACAAATCAGATGAAAGGTAAATTCAACTCAAATGACTAAATTCATTGATAAATGAACTTAAACTTCTGAAAACACCTCTGCAAAGATGTGATGAATTATTTTCTTGATTATAATGAAGATTTGAGTTTAAGTTATTTTGATTCGAATCAAAGCAGTCCAATTCACGCAAACTGAGGAAGCAAATAGAATTAGATGTCAACTAACATGCCAGGCTAAAAAGTAATATAACGAGCATAATATTCGATGTTTACATTCAGTTACTTAGCGTAACCAGAACAAAGTAATGGAAACCCTCCAGAACCATTATACATGGTAAGGTATGAACGTTCAGATCATCAACGTTCAATCATCGGCCTTCACCAATGATACTTGTGCTCAAGACAAACATTAGTGACGACGAAACCGGCATTTTCCTTTAAATGTAGAGCGTCACTGACTATGTTTGAGACTCACATCGAACTTGACGACGCTATAATGATATGGCCCGGGCCGGTAATATGTCCCCTTGATTTTAAGGACCGTCTTTCCAGCTTTGTTCTTGACGTCAAACTTCGGAGTGTAGAAGCTGTATTGCTGTTCAATCCTGCCCACGACCGTGCCAGGGGGGCACTCAACGTCCATCGTCTGCAATATTCAGCTTCATTCATACGAATATACGAGTAATAATGACCCAGTCATTCATCTGAATACCTGAGTGACATGCTACAACCATCTGAGTACCTGAGTAATAATGTGTCTACCTCATCAAATAGAACTACACAATTCAATTTTTATCAAGACAATCTTCTTCCCCGAAGTTAAAACACTAAATAATGAATAAAAAGATTAGACATATTGACAAAACTGTTGGAAATTTTTCCTGTACGTCACTGGATGTTCTAAAAGTTGGAGTTTGCGTGTGGCAGTGAGACGTAATTAACGGACGTGCCGTGTCGTGCGCAGCCCCGATTTAAATTTCATTCTCCGGTTTAACTCTCTTATCGCATTCTGTACTGAAGTTTTTCCAGTAAACAGTCTGGAATTAAGTAAAGTCAGTACAAATTGAGAGCGAGTACACATTGTACGCTTCTATTAAATTTGCAGTGAGTCAGCATTAAGTTCGTTCAAAAAAATTTTTTGTTCATTGCAATCAGTAAGTGAAAGAGAATGAAAGTTACCAAAGAAAAGTGCATTGTTACAGTAAACATGGCAGCCGAAGTCTGTGTTAATAAACCTACCGGAGAATATCTGAAATGTAACGAACGAAAATTCGGACAATTGGCACAATGATGGAACTTATGCAGATAGTTTTGTCTCTTTAAATGTTCACTACTGCCAGAATACCAACGTGCGAGATACTTAAAGACTAGGGTGAGCGAGACGTGGGTCAAAGAAGGCACGGTGAGTGTGCAAACTATTCTAGAGTGGAGTGGGAGAGAAATAGGCCTACCCCTCTGTTCTGCTCAGGCGCGGTTACCCTCTATTCCCGCCTCCCTCACTGTTGCCCGACATAGTACCCCGCCCACCCCAACCCTTGACCGAAACGTTGTCCCTCCTCTCTCCCATTTAAATGCCTCGAACAAGAGGCATTTAACTGTTAAGAAACGCGTTTGCTGAATATATCTTCAGGGCAAGTGCGATTGGCAGAATAAATGAATGAACTGTAATTATTCTCACCCTAAGATCTGTCACAAATTTCCAACGTTTGTGAGCAAAAACTAACGCGGATGCAAAAATGGGAGACTGTCAATACTACCTTCAGTCTTTGTGCTGGAATACTATTAAAAAGGTAGCTTGAGACGATATAACTGTCGGTTTCATCGCCTTAGACTCAACTTGCAGGCGAGAGGTAACGCCGAAGAGACGGGACTCTGATACTTCCTTACCGGAACACCGGATAGATTCTACTCCCTAGCTCAAAACTTCAGAAAAAATGACATGGTTATCAAAATCAGTTCTCAAAAAAGTGAACCTTTGGCAATCAAAGGAACAACAAGGCTGTTCCAATGATTAGCGCACCGGCAATTGCAACCTACCATAAGCAACAAAGAGAACTCAATACCAGTCGCAGTAATTCTTTAGTACTGCTGTGCCAAATAGATCAGATGCAACAACAAATGCAGCAGCTGTTGACATTGCACGAACAACAACAGAAATCACAGCAACAAATGTTTCAAATAGAATTTGAAACAAGAACCAACACCAGGAGCCACGACTGTAAACTAAAAAAAAACATCCACGCGACAACATTACTTCTCGTTTCGTGTCACCGACATAAGGAACAGCCTCCCTGGTAGCATCGTGGACGCTCCGAGTATGAACGCCTTCAAGAACAGATTAGACGAAGCTATGATGGAGCACATTTCCAGTCTCAAAATGCCTAGCACCTTACGGGCCTTGCAATTAGTCCAGCAGCTATCGCAATCTATCGTCAGTTATGAAAAGATCGGGTTCAAAAGGCCGGATCCCTTGTAGAATCAAGTCACGAAATGTACAAGAATCGGCAGCAGGCCATGGGCCTATTTTTTCAGCGCCGACACTTCAATTCTATTCTAAATGCAACATCTGCTGAGCCAGAGACCCCTGGAAGTGCAGTGTTTCAGCAACTAAGAACGCATGGAAAGGAAGAGTCTGGCATCATGATAGCCAACATCGAAGGGCTCTTCCCTAGAAAAAACGCCACACGATCGGTGTACTCGAGGAAATTGCTGAGACAGAAGAAATAATCATGCTTGTCTGAACCGAGTCACACCTAAGAGAGGATATCCAAGGAGGAGAAATCAAAATGAAAGGCTTTCGACATTACCGAACAGACTGAAAAGAAGGGAGGTAAAAAGAAGGCGTTATAGTATACCTCAGAAACTCCCTCGCGGCAGTTCCCCGGCATTTAGACTCCAATGGATATGTGGAACATGTTGTGCTATACATCTCCCATCTCCAACTGTGCATAGCTATCGTATACCGACCGCCTGTCTACCCACCGGAAAAATTCAATGAAACTCTTGAGAGAATAGAATCAGAGGTGGTCAACTTGGGTGAACCTTCCCCTAAAATTATGGTTGCTGAGATTTTAACCCACCACACGTACGATGGACACATTTGGACTGTTCAGGACGGTGCAGCAGAGATCAGGCAAGAAACCAGGAAACACAACTATTTCGATTCGCTAGGGAGCACTTGCTAAGTCAACAGGTTCTGGTGCCAACAAGAGAACACAATATCCTGGATCTATTCTTCACCAGCAATGAAGAACTGGTTGCTGGTATTCGTGTAGAGTGGACCGCACTGTCAGACCATCAACTAGTGGTGGTCGAAGCAACAATTGAGAGGGGAAACCAGCCTAGACCTACACCGCGAGAGGGGCTAGCTAGGCTAAATTTTATTCATCGAAGAACAAACTGGAGGCCATTGGGAACAAACTCCTCGAAATCGACTGGAGATCTGAGTTCCTGGACTTAACGCCGAAACAATGTACAACAAACTGTGCGAAGTATTACTGCAGGTATGCACGCGCCACACGCCGTGAAGAACGACCCCCAAGCGGCACATAATTCCAAGGGACTGACGGATCCTCATGAGAAAACGAACGAGCTTGAACAACCAGATAGCGGCCGCCTCCAGGAATATGGAGAGACGGAGGCTGGAAGATTTAAAGGAGAAAATTGAGGACTTTGAACGACAGTTGCAGAACGCGGCTGAGCAACAAGTTGCGGAGGCGCAAGCGGTGTCTGCCATTCGAGAGAATCCCAAACAATTTCTACAAATATGCCCAGTCAAAGGCCAAAATCAGAGCGTCAGTGGGGCCTCTGAAAAAGACGATGTTCTTGTTGTAGACGACCAGGACATGTGCGAACTGCTAGGTGCGCAGTTTGAAAAGGTATTCAGCGAACCCCGATCTCAAGACAGTAAAACGAAATTGGAGTCATTCAAGAACTACNTGATCACACTCATTAGAGCCCTTGTAATACCAATTCTTGAATACTGCTGCCAGCTCTGGACCCCGTTCACACTCGGCGCAGTACGGCAACTGGAAGGGGTCCAACGAACCTTCACTTCTGGGGTCAGAGGGATGAGGAGTTGAACTACAGGGAGAGGTTGAAGCGCCAGGGTCTGTACTCACTGCAGAGGAGACGGGAGAGGTATATCATTCTGTACACATGGAAAATGATAACCGGAATGATACCAAACTTCGAGAGCGAGACCTTCAGGATTGAGACATATTTTGAGATTGAGACCTTCAGGATTGAGACAGGCCACATCAGGCCTACACTTCAGAGCCGACATCACTATGTTATGTTATGTTATAAGGAGAAAAGGAAAGACTGTACAAGATCCCCCCACTACGTAACAGATCGGCGATCAGATTTTAATCCCTGCGGGAAGGATCATTTTCCGTGGCAGAGCCGAGGCTGTTTAACGTCCTACCAAAGGATCTAAGTGAGGCTGAGTTCACCCTGGAGACCTTCAAGAGACGACTGGACGTGTTCCTGGGCACAATCCCTGATCGACCTCCCCTGCAACACTACCAGCGGCGAGAAGCAAGCGACAGCATCGTGCATCAGCTGGCCTAAATGATGGAGGATGCGCGATAGTCAGAGGCGGCAATCAAAGGCGGCGTAGCCTGGGACTGCTACGACCGAAACAAATACCAAGCAAAAGCAGAAAATTGTTTAGTAGGCAATTGTTTTGCTATGGCATTTGCACCCGCTAGGCCATTGTCACCTAGGCACTGCGAGAGTACAGTCATAATTATCAACAGGATAAAGCAGGCCTACAGCCGGACCAGCCATTACTGTATCACTCACCTGGAGACAGCAGGGGAAGCAGCAGTCCTGGCACGCGAGGGGGCTTACGAGTTTCTTAATTTTCATTACTTCGGTTTGGTTGCGGTCAATGATCTTGATGTCGACGGGCAGGAGGTTACCACACNAATCTTTATTGCACGTACACGTAATAAGCTTACAGCCTAATCTTTATTGCACGTACACGTAATAAGCTTACAGCCTAATCTTTATTGCACGTACACGTAATAAGCTTACAGCCTAATCTTTATTGCACGTACACGTAATAAGCTTACAGCCTAATCTTTATTGCACGTACACGTAATAAGCTTACAGCCTAATCTTTATTGCACGTACACGTAATAAGCTTACAGCCTAATCTTTATTGCACGTACACGTAATAAGCTTACAGCCTAATCTTTATTGCACGTACACGTAATAAGCAGACAGCCTAATCTTTATTGCACGTACACGTAATAAGCTGACAGCCTAATCTTTATTGCACGTACTACACGTAATAAGCTGACAGCCTAATCTTTATTGCACGTACACGTAATAAGCTGACAGCCTAATCTTTATTGCACGTAAGGCTGTCACCTTATCCTTTGTTAAGAGTTGTATCAATTTAGGCAAGAGTTGTATCAGTTTAGCGATAGAGCGATGTATTCTGCGCATTGAAAATTTTGATTATATTCACTATTGAAAATTATTCAACCTTCCCGAATATCCGGACCATTGAGGCATTGGTGCATTTAAACTAATGTTATGATAAGTTCTCACCAAACTTGCATCTGTTGCAGAGCATATCAACGACACTTCACAGGCGACACTTCAATGTTAATTGTGGCAATACTAATGCCACTGTCTGAACTATAGATGCTGGCAACACGTGATGCTGGCAACACGTGGTGCTGGCAACACGTGATGCTGGCAACACGTGATGCTGGCAACATGCTGGCAACACGTGGTGCTGGCAACACGTGGTGCTGGCAACACGTGGTGCTGGCAACACGTGGTGCTGGCAACACGTGGTGCTGGCAACACGTGATGCTAAGATAATTCACCACATTCTTATTAAACAATTTTCGGTTCCATCCTTAGGCCTGCTTATCGTTTTCAATGAAAATATGTCGAGTTTCACGATTCTTTAAGTTAAAATTAGGGGAATTGATTTGAACGTAGAAATTAAAGCTTAATTACTGTAAACTTACCAGGCAAGGGCTGCTGGGTCTGCACTTGGCTATCCATGCTTGTAGGCAGGCAGGAATTCACTTATTTTATTACTTAATGAAATTAACAGATATTTTCTCTGTAAAGAAATCCACTGTGGATCAATATATACACTCAATAAGTCAATAAGAAAGGTCAGCGTCGGCTATCGTAATACTCGTGTGAAGTGCGTAAATGTATTTTTATTTTCCATCAATTAATTGAAAGCACAAGTAAAGTTCCAGCAAAACAAACGTACACAACAAACGATATTCATAGTACAGCCTCACAAAAACATACGTCGCAATACAGGGAGAATATCGACCTAAAAATACCAAAACTTCAAGGAGTGAACATCGAACATTGAGAGAACAGTTTGTTGCCTCAGCGAGATCTAGATGCTCACAGCGCAAGGCAGCATCCTTAGAATATTGACTCTAATAAAAACTGTACCCTTCCTACACTCATTGAAATTTGTTTAATGGCTAATTTGACTTGAACAATATAGACTAGTATTTTGAGTTTTTCAGCGAATTGCCTTAGGCAACAAAGGTATTCAATTACTTGGGATCCATTTCTATTTATCACTGCTCTCTAAGTTACGTTAGGGCAGTTAGGCAATATAATATTTTTGAAGGCATTCAAACGTGTCGATAAATTTATAGGATTGACTTTTAATAGTATTCACATTAGTCTTGCAGAGACTACATCATCTTTTTACCGCAGAAATGAGTTTAAATTGATTTTCATCTTCCAGGTGTGAATATTCTACCGTCAATGCCGTTGATTTCGCCACATCACTTATGTCACCGGCCTTCAAACAAAACGATCTATTTTGTTAGCGAAACTGAGCCTAAACTATGGCCTGATCAAAAGGCTCTATAGTTGTTAGATGTTAATCGAATCCTAAAAATCGTAGTTCTGACCGGCATTATCCGGTTTTATTTACGATAGGCGAGTAGCGTGCAATTCGCTGCAGGTTGGCGACGCTTATGTGACATTGACAGTAATTCAGATCGTAAACTTAGTGAACTTGATGTAATTTTCCGCGGATAAAAAGGCATTTCATTCAAAATATGCTAGTGAATTTGTAGGTTCCGGTGTAAAAATTAAATTTTTTTTCGTACATTTTAAAATTTAAAGAGGTAGTTCTGCCATCATAAATTTTTGTCGACAAATGCAATTGAAAAATATATACTGCCTAATTTGTCCGGAAAAAAAGACCCCTGCAGCCCATCGGTGGGTCGTGCCGCACTCAACGTGTCAACTGTCAAGTGTAAATGTGTGCACTGCAAATGGTTATAACTAACTTATTTTTACAATTTTCTTGTTAATTTTAAATGGGGCCGTTTTTGGCCTTTTTGTGTGCTAAATTGGCCTTTTTCTCTTGGCTCCATCTGGAAACTAAAAACATAACTAAATTACAGCCCTTCATTCATAGTTCTTATAAGATGGCTCACACTTTCCAAGTCACGAACTTCCTCGCGATTCACTTCATTATTTTAAAGTGAATAAGAATTCGAGGCGAAGTAATTAACTCCTGTAATTTCATCGAATCTCGAAATGTTTCAAAGTCAAAATATTTCCTTCGCCAGCACTGAGGCAGTGAGGCAAGACCCCACCCAACAAGACCCCACAAAAAAACTAATTCCGCTCTAAAACTGTGTTGCGCGGGCATTGCCATTTTAGCCCTTCGCGTGCTGATCGTTAGTCGTTACTCGTTACCAGGCCTTTAGGAAGTAATAGCAATGCCGACGGCTAATGTAACATTAGACAAAGTGTTAAATTTCTGTCTGCTAAGAGCAACTCTTGTTAACAGGCTTTTAGAAACTAATAACATTACCGCGGTTTGGGAATCCCTAGACTTAGGTCGAGAAGGACTATCCTACAGCCGCGCGTCCACAGTAAGAACGCTGCCGCCAAAACCGATACAAATAAGAGCTGATGTCATCAAATATATTCATCGGCTTGTAATTACCTCAGCTTTGTTGAACAAGTGCTTGGGCGCCACTAACGGACCAGGGGACATTTACAGACCGACTTGATGAAGCACGATAACCTAACCATGCTTTGATGCATGAAACTAAACTTTTAATAATGATACTACAGCTATGCTTTGAAGCATGAAACTCCGACTAAACTTCGAAGAATTATACTACAGCTATGCTTCAAAGAACAATGCTTTAACGTACGTTCCATCAGCGATTATCAGCCACACTATATAGGCAGTCTGCTGAACCTCGAGGCGCTGGCGGCCGCCTCTTCTCAAGCTCAACTGCAACGAAGTCAATCACCTCGTCGGAAGATCAACTTCAAGATTTGCGGCTACAACACGACCACATTACAGTCGCATGCCTGTAAGCCTGTTCCACGAGTAATTTGCCTGTTCCACGGAATGCCTGTTCCACGAGTTCACTCCACGCGTCGTTCAGAAAAATGACTAGCTAGTGCGCGATTAGCAAATGGTTCTCCGCTGGCGTTCTTAAGAAATTGCACAATATTTTCTGGGACGATTTAACATAAAATAATTTCGGCATTTACTAAACTTCATCATTCAGTAATAACACTAGTGTTATTCGTGCTCAAAATTGATAATTAACTAACTGTACACTTGTACAATGGTTTAAAATGAAAATGATGAAATCCGAAATACATAATCGAGATCAAGACAGTTAAGACCGGTCGGACAAAAGAGCGTGGGCGTTAGCGTGGGTTACAGCGTGGGCCAGCCCGGCCCTGAACCTGCCCTATACCAGCTCTCCCTTTAGCCACGTTTTATTACCTCAATTCGTAACCAATAATTAGTGTACGGCGCGCACTTCAAGCAGATTAGCATCGCTCCATTCCCTGGATATTTGCGAACAAGTGTAAGTTTTTACAATTACATTCCTGATTACGACAGTGGGCAAATTTAAATAATAATAAAGAGGTACTTTCATGTGCTAGATAGTGTGTTAAATACACTTGTGAGTTGTTACAAAGGTTTAATTGACAGTTACCATTTCAATTCTAAATCTACTGGCAACTGCCGAATTTGTTTTGCGACTAACATTTCATGTACCTATCTTATTACTGGTATGTCCGATGAAATAACTGTCAGGCATCAAATCACTCCATTGCAGTGATTGCACCACCAACGTTGCCTCAACTTGCCTGGTTGCCATAGCACTTTTGTTGCCAGCTTCCAAAAGAAGGCTTAAGAAGCTATTTATTAAAAATATTGCAAAACTCTCTAGCATCTAAATTAATAATAAAAATTTTAAATTCTAAACAGTATTATGCAGTTGTCATTGATGAGCTGTGAAAAAAATGCAGTCTCTGCTGGTCAGTGGTAACTCATGACTCATGTCTTGTCAGTCATGTGTCATTGACATTTGACAAGCAAAATTTTGTAACAGGCTGTCAGCCATGTGGAATTATGGGCTAATGGCTGGCTGAGGCTCATATATTTAAGATTGATCCATGTCTGTACCTTCCTTTCATTAGAAATCTTTTCAAACTCCTAAATTGAAGTATAATTTAATATTTATCAAATTTGAAGTCTACCCAATAATTGTTTAGCTGCTACAAATAACTACAATTATACTAAGATATTAGTTAGTTAACACCTGTTCCTCTAGAATAACACTGTCACTAGAGGGCAGCGTATGGTTTCGGTCAATAAGTTGTGCTTCCAGCATCACCGTTGGTTGTTGTCCTTGAACAAACTCTTGGTTCTAGTTATCTGGTTGTATCTTCATCCTAATTGCCTCAAGTTTTTAATAAATAAGTTATTCCAAATGTAGGAAATTAAGTTTAGAGATTGCCCAGCCTAAGTGAATGTAATATTGTTAGGGGCACTCCTAACATTCGAGCTCTAAAGATCCGGTAAGACCAATATAGTATTGGCTTTTATCTCTTGAAAACTTGATGAAACAACCTAACAGCAGGACAAATGAAACACAATATCAATCCAGCTAAATGAACTCAAAACCAAGGAGACAGACGAGATATACATTGAGATGATAGGCACATATGATGGTGAGGGGTTAGTAGAGTTAAGGGATGGTACATACACAGGATGAGAATGGATGAATAATAAGTAAAGAAACTGTAAGAACCCTAACCAACTCTAAACTATCGTGGTGATCAGTAAAACGTGGTAAAGGAACAGTGACAATAAAACTTAATACTAAAAGCTCACACGCATGAAAATCTTCAAGGAAGGCTATCTTCAGAGCTAGAGGATTACAAGCTTCTGTCTTGACTTGAGCCTCCAGCGTCCGGGGTGGAGCTTCAGGTTGCACAAACCTTTGGAGACTGGGTCAACCAGCTCATAGCCCTACCCAGACTGGGCAACAGATCAATGGTTGCCTGTGACTCCCGAGTAACACTGGAGTACACCTTATAAGCAATGAGCACTAAGGCACTGAATATCACTGGAAAGCACTGAATTACACTGGTCAGCACTGGCTGGCACTGAGTTGCACTGGATCACTGAATAATACAGGTTGTACTGTGTAGTCCTGAGTATCACTGACTAGCACTGGGCAGCTGAATAGCACTGGGTAATACAAGGTGGCACCGGGTAATACTGGGTATCACTGGGCGGTACTGAGTAACAGTGGATAGCACGGAGTAGCACTGGAGTAACACTGGCACTAGGGTCACAGCCCT